ATGTCTCCCTATGAAGTTCTGCTCCATGAATGGAACTATTTCCATTCATAGTTAATCGAAGGATATCCATTTCATATTTAATGGAGCACAAGTTAATGGGTCAGGGAGAGGAAAAACAGCACTGTTTCTCTGTTCATTATTGGGAATATGAATTGGACTCCATAAATGTCATTTGATAAGAACTCCCTGCTGTCTAAGCCTTTGCTTCTAACTTAACTCATTCTATGAGTGCAGTCTCCCTGTGATGCTCATGACAGCATGGCATAGTAATACTTAAAAACCCTCCAGTCAGGCCGAGCGTCAGTGGCTCATGCCTGTAATCCTAGCTACTCAGGAGGCTGAGATCTGAGGATCACGGTTCAAAGCCAGCTGGGGCAGGAAAGTCCATGAGACTCTTATCTCCAATAAACCACCCAGAAAACTGGAAGTGGCACTGTGGTTCAAGTGATAGAGTGCTCACCTTGAGCTAAAGAGCTGAGGGACAGTGCCCAGGCCCAGAGTTCAAGCCACACGACCTACAAAATTTTAAAAAAAAAAACCCTGCAGTGATTCCCAGATGTCTTCAGTAGCCAAGCAAACTAGAATGAGTCATAAACACTAATGCACAGGTGCCTGCCTTCCTCCCAGGCTCATTTCTCATCAGTCCTTACTCTGCTTTATCAACACCCTAAAAGTTACATAAATTATTCTTCATTACATGCTATTACCAAGGCTCCGAGTCTTGGTTTGACAAACTTCTCCTTGGACAGCTCAGGCATGCTTATCTCCAGAAATCTTTTGTTGACTCTTTCATGTGGTTGAGATGAATGCTTTTTCCTCCAGAATGTTTTTTTAATACCCTGAGCAAATCCTTATTCTCATCCTCATGACCGCCACTAGATGGTGTATTTCCAGCTGAGGTCTTGACATGGGGAAGATGCTTAAAACATAAACATTTTCCAAATGAATTAATAGTCAAAGAAATAAATGAAGCAAAGCCTTCCTTCCCCAGGCAGATTGTAATATGTTTTGGACAGAAACCTTAGACAGCAATTGTGTTTTATGCTTTATAAAACCCAGGTCACTATAAATTACCAACGACAGCAAATTCTTCTATGGTCTTTCCTTGACATTCATAGAATTCCCATTTCATTCAAAACTTCTACTTAATATAACATTCCTCTGTGGCTTAAACGACAACAAAATTAGTCAATCATGTTCAAACAACTTGACAATGACGTAAAGACTAATTTCAGTTTCTTGATTTCCAATCAAGTGTATTTTCAGCCTGGGATGGTGATTCATGTCTATAGTCCCAGATAGTTAGGAGGAGGATATAGGAGGATTGTAGTTCAAAGTCATCCCAGTCAAGTTAATTAGATCCTATCTGAAAATAAGTTAGAGGAAAGGGGGTTGGGAATGTGGCTCAAGTGGTAAAAATGCTGACTGTACAAGCACAAATCCCTGAGTTCAAACCCCAGTACCAACCAAAAACACAGGAGATTTTCACCATTTTAGATGGGGTTATAAATTGAATGGGTGGGAGAGGAAGGGAGAAAGAGAGATTGAGAGTGAGAATAAATGAATTAAATAAACCTTGCTACTTAGTAAAACTCTGTTTTGAAACACATTAGAGGAAGAATATATTTAAAGTGCCTAAGGGCAAAGTCATCCTGTTGGATACTCAAGAGAATATAATTTAGTAAGACAATTGGGTTTTCCCATGAAGAGAAATAAGGAATTCCAGACTGAGAGACATAAAAGAGAGTAATAAAAATACGAAACTATAAAAGCAAGATCACAAAACAATGCTGGCTCGAGTGGCACAGGCTGTGAATGCCTTGCTTAGAAGGGGGAGAATTGTGACTGTGAATGCAAATAGCACAAGAATGCAATCCTAAAGGATAAATGTTAGGCAGGATAAGTGCACAGAAGTTGGAGATATTAAGCCTGTTCCAGTTGGAACTGTGTGAGAGATAGAGGATTAGAAAATTCTGGAGAGGTCAGTTAGGCAAAATTTTGAAAGACCACTGTATTATTTGGGAGCTTCCAGAGAAAAAGATGAGAGGATTTATAAATATAGATAGATCCATCATGAATGGATCAAGGAAATGTAATATACATTCTATGCTTCCATCTGAAAGAATGGCACTGCCTCATTTGTAAGGAAATGGAAAGACTTGGAAAAAAATCATATTAAGTGAAGTAAGCCAGGCCCAACAAGTAAGCCAGTCCCATGGTTTCCCTTATTCACAATAATTAGTATATGTCTAGGATAATCTTAGCAGATGAGCAGAATAGCTCAATAGCTAAGCAACCGGGCACTGGTGGCTCATGCTTGTAATCCTAGCTACTCAGGAGGCTGAGATCTGAGGATTGCAGTTCAAAGCCACCCCGGGCAGGAAAGTCCATGAGATTCTTATCTCCAATAAACCACTAGAAGACCAGAAGTGGCACTGTGGCTCAAGCGGTAGAGCGCTCACCTTGAGCTGAAGAGTACAGAGAACAGGGCCCAAGCCCAGAGTTCAAGCCCCATGACTGACCAAACCAAACAAAACAAAACAAAAAGATGAAGCTAAGCAAAATGAGCTCTAAGACATGGACACTAGAGGTTTTTCTCTGTTGTTGTTTTTTTGTGTGTTCTTCCCCCTATGGTATATCCTTTGTTGTCACTGTATTTGATTTTGGAACCCTGGTATTGTATAGGCATGTATTTGAATTAGGGAAGGGAAGGGGAACAACACAATGGTGAGACAAAGGACAAGGGCGGAACCAATACAACATCGATATTTACAAGACAATATGTTGGACATGATCTGTACAACTTGGGAAAGGAGGAGAAAAATGAGGGAGGGAGAAACAAGTTTGACAAGAAAGGTACTTGTTAGCTTACTTAGGTAACTAACCCCTCTGTACATCACCTTGACAATAAAAAAAAAATGTTTAAAAAAAAGATCCATCATGAGAAATTAGTTCCATAGTCATAGAGATGGAGAAATCCCAAGATGGACCCTCTGAAAACTATAGAGTCCCAGTTTCAGCTCAGCTCTCAAAGTCTGAGAACCAGGAGCACAATCATAGGAGGAGAGCAATTGCTGAACTCCAACAGTCAAGCAAAACATATTTCCCCCGCTGTTTTGTTCTTTCTCGGTTCTCAGTGGGCTGGGTGGTGACCCCTCAGATTGGGATAGACAAAAGGCTCTACCAAGTCTGCCAATTCTGATACCATTCTCCTCTATAAACAAGCTGATGGACACATCCAAAAAGGTTTCACTAGATACCTGAGCATCCTGTGGCCCAAGAAAGTACACATAAAATTCATTATCACAATATCCAATGGGAAGTCAAAGTTTAGCCTAATTTGCAGGTGTCATGAATCAATTAGATACTTTATATGCTGGAAGTGCAGAGAAGAATATGAAAATTATATTTGGGGACAATTAACTTGATAGTGATTTGTATAATGAAATACAGTAGAGATGGAATAAAGAGCAGCTATGTAAGTTCTGATATGGAATAATAAAAATCCAAGCTCTGGAGTTTATGACTGGAGATGGAAAGGAAGAGATGGCTATAAACTATAACAGCTGTTCAACTTTCAAATGTGTTCATTATTGTGTTCAGAAAGCTCTAAATAATGATATTGTTTAAATAGGTACTATTTAATTAATCTTCACAAAAATTCTACCTGAAACGTTCGTTAGAATCTCAGCTAATCTAGGTTCGGGTTAAATAATTTGTCCTAAATTACACGTCTATTCTAGACAGTCCCAGTACTATAGAAAACTCATGTTCTTTCCACTGCATTGTCCTGCCTTTTTCCTGAAGTATAACTTGATTGGAAAGGTGCTCGCAATGTGAATAACTGCAAATACAGTTAATTCTTCAGGCTCTTCACATTTCACCCATGATCGATGAGTTTGGTAAAGGCAGGAGGGAGAAAACAGTGGAGCTATATACAAAGATTTAACTCCACCTTTGCTTCCATTTGCAAGTGAAAAATCAGATAACCATGGTTGTGAAAAATTAACAGGACATTGAAATGAAAGATCTTCTAAGCCACTATGTTTTTTAATTTAATACAACCAGAGTTGTGAAATGTGAATTCTACAAAAGGTGGATAACTGTGGGTTTCTGTTTCCTTTAGATGATGTTAATATACATAATAGTCAAAGAGTAGCACTCTCAAAAGCTATCTGTCCCCTAATCTCTGCAATTTGCATACATTACTTTATCTGACAAAGAAAAAGACTGCATATTGATCAAAAGAAGGATTGTGAGATGACCAGATTATCTTGGATTTTTATACATGTAAGGGCTCAAACCATCATTACAAGGGTCCTGGGAAAAGGGAAAAGAGCACTCCATACAAGCAGAAGTTTGACCAGTGGCAGAGATGGTAGAGGTATGGCCACAGACAAAGAGAGTTGGGAAGCCACCTGAAGCAGAAGAGAGAAAAATCAGTCTCCTTTCATGCCCTCAGGGACACCACAGCTCTGAAGTGTAGGAGCACACATTGCTTTTAAACCAAAAACAACTGTGAAAAAGTACCGCAGCCATCATAAGAAACTCAAAAGCCTAAGCAACCTTAGTTGGCCTAAGTCATAAACACCCCTAAAAATTCAAGAATACAACATGCGTCTTTATCTTTCTTGCAGTGAAAAATAAAGCAGGAATGGATTTGCCGAGGGTAGTGTCTTGAGTCTTGACCTTGGAAAACAGAATATCATGACTTTACAGATTTGGTTTACTTAGGTGAAGAACTGTTTTCTAGCCATTCTTTCCTGACTATGTAAGCTGCCACTCACACAGATCTGACTGGTGTTCAGATGTTACGACTGACAGAACAAATCAGTTTTAATAAAGCTGGCAACGTGCTGTGGTTTCAAGTCACTTAACCATCACAACCAGCTGCCTGATGAAACTGAATAATTACATAACTACTGTGATGCATTTGAGCTACGTGGGTTTAGGATTATGGTGAGTGGTAGAGAATGACAACACATTCTTTCTGTCCACAGGCTCGGTGGGATGGCTTGACGGGACGTATCACCTTCAATAAGACCGATGGCTTGAGAAAGGATTTCGACCTGGACATTATTAGCCTCAAAGAGGACGGAACTGAAAAGGTAAACTTCCTTCATAATGAATTAACAAATAAAGTGCAAAGCTCAAGCATCGGAGTTACATGTGACAGGTAAATTGGAGAATGAAGCAGTGATTGTCCTGACATGTTTATTCACATCCAGGGTTCTAGATACCTTTCCCTAGTCTGCAAAGAGATGTTGATGAGCTCGAGTCTTAAATTATGGATGTGTTATTAATAGTAGGGCTAGCTAATATTTATCAATAATTGTTTAATATTGCATTCATACATACATTAGTTTCTAATAACCCAACAGGTGGGCATCATTAAAGCTATTTCTGAAAGAGATTGAGTAATTGAGTTTAGACTTGGAAAGTCAAGAGCTGTCAAGGTTCATCTATGGAACGGCACTCAAGGATTGCTCAGAAATTAATTTTAACTGCACTCTATTTCCATACTGGTGACAGAGGGACAGGATAAAATAGGATACAAGAGGCTTACTGGAGTAAATTAACTTTGCATCCTTAATTTCAGGGCAAATGCTTGAAATTTTCATTTTAATTGGGATTCTCACTTTGGGATTATTTTAGTTGCAACTCAAAAGTTTGGCTTGCTATTTGGAGTAGCACAAATGTAAAACATGCCTAAATAATAATGAAAAGAATTTGGCTTTTCAGTCCATGATATTACTCCAATTCTAATACTCATGACTACGGAATAGCAGATTTAGCATATACGGTTTGAAGATTGTTTCCATCAGAACCTTAAAGAAGAAAATTCAATCACTGAAGAGCCAAAACTTTATCATTCAACTTCCCCATCATTATAGTGCTCAAAATGTTATATGTATAAGTAGCTTTGAAACCATTGTTTGCTGAATTTGAAAACTTGGGTTGATTTTTTTTAATGAATAAGGTCTGTATTTCTGCTCTTATGAACTGGGAGAATTTATTTTTGGTGGATCCCAACTACCTGGTGCCCCCAAATCACACTGATTGAAACAGAATTAATTAGTTTGAACACAGTAGAAGGTTTCTACTGGTATTAAATCAAGAAAACTCCATAAATTTTCAGCCTTGTAGGGTATACATTATAAATGCAGATTTCCAATTTCTCTATGGATTCTTTCTAATTTGGTCCTCTGCTGTCTTAAAGGAGCTCAAAACATCACCAACCCTACACAACAGGCTGTGTAGGGCTAATGATAAAAGGAAAGAATATTTACTATCATCTAAATATTTGTAATTTGTTTATAGAAAATACCTGCTTCTCTAGGCTCATCCTACTCTCCCCTGCTCTCCTTAGAAGGTATAGCACTGAAGGCAGAAGGAAAGCTTTCACGGAAACATCATTTTGGCTCAGATGGGTAATGAAATAGATGGAGCTATTGCCATGTTTTCCCAGCTATTTATATGCAGCACTATTACGCACACTCGGTTGGTATTTTTCCATCAAAGGCAAAATCGAATAAGATGAAAGTTTTTTCTATTTGTTTCTTATTTCTTCATTGTTCGCAATAACTTTTCTTTCTTCAGGTGACTTGGGCTCAATTCCTAAGAAGGCTGATTGGGCCGTGGTAGCCATGGGAAAAATCAACACATCTGTTTCAGGAGCCAAAGAAGGACAGACCTTTAATCTTGTCATGTCAGCCTTTCTCAGGGTCTGCAGGGAGAATTATTATTTTTTAAAAGCCCACTTTTTTGTAGTTGCACTTAAATTTTTACTGCCTGGGAACACATAAGCAAAGAACAAACCATCATACATGCCTTTTCTTCAATAGTAGTGTATGTGTATGTGTGTGTATGTGTGTGTTGATTTGTTGATTGACTAATTTTGTTACAAATACTTTCAGCAGAAATTAAAATTTTTCTTCTTATAAGAGATAATGATGGTCTGTAAAGCAACAGAACAAGTGTCTATATTTAAAAGTTATTTGTGTTGTGCAAAAGGAAAAGTAACAATGGAGTCTTAGCACCAAGTAATTCCTAGGACAGCCAAGTTATAATCCATCTCTTAAACTGTGTCAGGCTTTATGTTCAATGATGATGCAAAATTCCAAAGACTAGGTAAAGAATCTGCCACACACCATATTTACCTTTCAAGTTCCATGCTCCATGTTTAATTAAGTGCTGTTTTTATTTTTTCCTCTCTGAACACCAAGGCCGCTGGTGAAGTGTCTAAGCACTTGTATAAAGAGTGGAAGAAGGTTTGTACTCTGATAACAATTGAAGGAAACTTGGGGTGGGGCAGGGAATACCCATGGAAAGCTGGCATCTTTCCAGTTTTGCTTGACCAATAACTCTCCAATGGCAGTGTAGAGGCGAGATTCCACACCAAGGGAAAGGGGGGAATAGAATTTCTGTCAACATCACCCATGAATTGTGATGGATTAAGTAAGGACAGATTAACATTGTCCCCTAAGATGATTTTTGTGTGTTCTGAACAGGACCTGTCTCTGTAAGACCTGCAAGCAGGTGCCTGTAATGGAAATAGACATCCACTCATTTCCATTCCTTCTCAAGTCATGAAGTATTTCCCCTAAAAAAGATGCAAGCAACAATGGATTTGGCCCATCAGACTGGTCAGATAAGCTAAGTCTTTAGAAGACCAGGACATTTCCTTCAATTTCAATAGAAAAAAGAAGGAAAAAAGGAGTCATTTTCAGAAACTACCCTTTCTATTCTGTGAAAGATTTTTTGTCAGAGTGCACTGTCTTACACTTTGTTTCAGAGCTACTGTTAGCAGAGGGCAAAAACTTTAGAAACTTTGGAAGGGAAATAAGATTATCTTGTAAATTATACCACCTACAATTTCATAGTATATTATATAGTACCAAATGGCCAATGACTGTGCATAGATTTATATAAACAGATGGTAAACATTAAAAATATTTGGATCATGAAAACATCCCAGTGATAGGCAAACACCATATTGTCTTTCATTCTTTCTTCTCCCTCCTACTATTCTGTTCCTCTTTCTTCCTCTCTCTCTCTCTCTCTTCCTTCCTTTCCTCCCTCATTTATCCCTCCCTCCCTCTCCCTCAAACTACTTGCTAAACAAGTCTGTTGATTGATGGATAGGTAGACTTGAAATTACTTCAGGTCCAACAGTTTGTCAGTTTCACTCCCATCTTTCATATTACCAGTTGAGTCAAATAAATAGCTCCTCAAACCACCAAAAGACTCTCTTGGTAGCACCAACTACACATACCTAAAAATTTTCCTCCTTCTAAGTTTTAAAAAGCTGAAGGCATGGCTTAAGTGGGAGAGCACTCGTATTAAGCAGAAGCCTTGAGTTCAAATCCAGTTACTACAAAACAAAAAAATAGTTCTATCAGTTTTATTTTAATTGTCAATAAAGCACAGTATCCAAGATCTATAAAAGTTGAACTAGTTTCTTCCTTTGTAGTAAGCAGATGACCTCACCTGGCACTCCAAAGCAGTTTATTACATTAATCCATCTTGGGATCAAGCACTTTATGCAATACTGAATTCATTCAAACCAGGCATCCTAGAGAATGGAAGCTAAGCTGGAAATGAGCCAGAGGGAAGGGAGTTGCTCTCCACTTGGCACCAACCACCACATATAGAACACATGACAACGATGTGGCCTCACCACCTCTGCCTACTGGTGAACTATAGATGCCATCCATTCTCTGTTATGACTGCACCTGAAATTCACAGTAACCCGAGTAGCAGATGTGACCCAATGAGACTGACACACACTGTACTTTCCCAAGGAAGACAACACCTTCAAAGGATCCAATCCATATCGTATTTAAATTCCAACCATGTTTACTAGCGCCATGGCCTTTTCCAACTACAAAATACATCCCCTGAAATTATTTCCAAGAGAGGGATCTTTACCAACCCCATCACTAAGAAATGAAAATAAGGCTCGTGACACAGGAAGTAAATGTGCCCTTGTGCATCCTCTTCCCACTGGGTTATTTCCTTCTGATAATTTTAGATTTCATGTTTATGTGAATCCCACTCTAGGCTTGAAAAGTATATACAAGTGAGCCTTTGGCTGCCCTTTGATGGTGTGACTTTTTTTAAGTTTGTGAAATGTCCTCTGGGCATTCATTTTCAAATGTTCCTTCAGTTGTCCCAGATAACAAATGACTACTGCCTCATAACAGCCTAGACAGAGTGAAAGAAGGCAGGCCAGACAATTTAGCCTTTGAGTGGTCCTCCCCACAAATAATTGATCCACTATCCACCACCTCTCACTGGTAAATTACTGCTGCCTGTTTTCACTCCACAGTTTGAAAATTGAGGTTCTGCTTCCTGAAGGCACTCCTCCAAGGTCGCAGAACAAGACAAAAATACCAAAGTCTAAGCAGCTGGGTCTGCCCAGTACACACACACACACACACACACACACACACACACACACACACACACCCATGTACACACTTAGGTTTGCTGATTAGAAGATTTTTAAAAACAAGAATGAGATTCTTCAGATTACATACTTATTCTGTTTACTTTCCAGGAATAGCCTCACCTTTTATTTCATTTTGATACTCTTCCATTTGTATTGAAAACCTCTTCTGTTCTACAGATAGTGGGGGGAAAAACATATTCTCTCTCATTTTATGGAAGAAATTTTGCTCTACTGGGACCTGGGAACTAAGTTGATTGAAATGGCAGCAGCAAACATCTCTTAGCTTCTGTGCTTTGCTGAGAATGGCAAGAGAAATAAAAGCTAGATGTCAAGCTGTGGCATAGATTTGTCTACAATTTCAAATTTTATTTTAGAAGTGAATGCTATTTGCAAAACCATTCAGCATTTCTATTTTCAAATATGAAACCTATTTTTAAAAGAGTTTCTTTGAGCTGGGCATGGAGAATCTGAAATTCAGAGCCAACCCGATCTCAATTAGCAATCTAATCTCAAACACAAAATGCAAACCAAAGGACTGGAGACATGGCTCAAATAGTCATTTGTTTGCCTAGCATGTGTGAGGCCCTCGATTAATGCCCCAGTACCACTGAAATATGTAAATTACCATGTCCTTTTAATCTTGGTGTGTGTGTGTGTATGTGTGTGTGTGTGTGTGTATGTGTGTGTGTGTGTATGTGTGTGTGTGTGTGTGTATAACTATGAGTTTGGATCTGAGATTTCTTGCTATTTATAAAAAGGAACATTTGGGGTTACATTAGAATATGCATTTCATCTCATTTCTGGAAAGTATTAGACAGCTGGCTAGTTCATTATGGCCAGTTTGTTGGCATTTGTGGAATGACTGAATAAATTTCTCAAAGATATTTAACTAAATAAATAAAAAGTAGTTCCTATAAACACACACAATTGACATTCATTAAAATAACAGTTTAAGAAGACCATCTTCTATGACTTTAAAAAGTGTCCTAAAACAAAGTAGTGTTCACCTTTTGATACTCAGTTAAAAATTAGATGTCCATTCCCTATTTCTAAATCAAGGTTTAAGCAGAATCATTCCAAAGTCTCTTTATGGAGCTAAGTTAATTACAACTAAAATCATAGATTTAGAATACATAAACAAATGTGTCAATCAACAAATGTATTGTGCTATGATACATGCCACAGCTTAACAGCATGGGCTATGTTACTTAGAAGTCAGAGTCTTTGCTTAAAAATAGTAGGAGGAGTGAAATTTGCAAAGGGAGAGAAGAAAAGTTTCCTATCCTGAGTTTAATGGGTGCCAGAGGGGAAACTCTTCAATATATCTCCTTTGGATGATGGATAGACATCATCAGGACCCTAGAATATTAAAGGATTATTAGCCTACCTCCAATATCTTCTCTCTTTATATAGTAGCATAATACTCTCTTTAAAAAATTTAAACTTCCAAACCTATCTCTTTACTTCTCAAATCAACCACTCTACATATTCATGTTAATGTTTGATAGTCCTTCATATTTTCTCAAACCATTGATACCTCTAAGAAAGATATCCTTCATGTCAAATTAATTTCCACTGATAAACTTAGGCACTAAACAAAAGCAAAGATAGAAAAAACGATGATGGAAGAAGGTTGACAAACTAAGATGTGATAATTTAATCATCAGACAGACTCTATTATCTCAATTTTGCTGGCAAAAAATTAAGCCACAGAGAGGTTGATTAATTCATCCAAGGCCACACTACGAGAAAGTTGCTAAGATAGAGTCTGGATAAAGAACAGTTCTACAAAGCTCAAACTCTATTGAGCTAGCCAAACATCTTCCCTATTGAAGAAAATATATTCCTGCGCTGATGGATGTATTTAGGGACCAAAAATGAATCCAATCTATCCATTTGACTATGCCTAAGTGTTAATGATCCTAAGCTGCTACTGTTTCTCATGGCTCCTGAATTTCATCAGTTTCTGAGATCTACAAAAAAAAATTCACAGACAATTTCAAATTCTTTTGCAACAAAGCCAGCTTAAAGAAATTTATCATTAACATTTAGGTAGACATATATATAATACTTTTATAGACATCATCTCATTTAATCTTTGCAGTAGCTTTGTAATGAACTTACAGTTAGAGAAACAAAGTTCAGAGAGCTTACTTTCTTGTCCAAGGTTACATGACATAGCAACTGGATGACATCTTTTGTCTGACTTTTCCAGTGTCCCTTTCACATGGCTAGTAGTATTGCCTAAAGACTCAGAAAAATCCCTCAGTTTCTGATGGTACTTCTCCTGAGCTGTCCCAGAGCCTAAAACACCCATATACGAGTTTAGCATCCCTTATTTGAAATGCTTAATGCCAAAAAAAAAATATATATATATATATAATGAGACCTCTTGAAATGAGACTCAAATCCAAACATGAAATTTGCTGCTAATTCATAGACATATAATATGTACATATTATTATATATGGATATATAGTGCATATATGTATACATACATAATATGTATGTTGGTATATATATATATATATATATATATATAAAAGGTAATTTTGCACAATATTTTAGTGCCCCTGTGTTTTGACCATTACCTAGGGTCAGGTGATTTGGAAGAATTTCATATTCAAAGAATAAGAATGTATAATCTCTATTACTACAGCCAGTAGACCTAGGTCACTAAAGAAAATAGGTCATTATCTTTTTGAAAGAGCAATGGTCTTCACTGAATGTAAATTTCCTTGGTTGGATCTGTGACACAAAGATCAATGAGTGATAAGCATGATTATCCTTATGAAGAAGGTCAAGGTCAAGAAGACCCGAAAAGACAGGTCAATGGATATTGATAACAGAAGCCATTAGGTCCTGGACAGAGGGAAAGCCTAGTCCTACCATGACACACAGACACAGTCACTGTCCAGCATTGTCCCTCAGTGAAAATAGGACCAGAAATGTTGACTTAGCCACACATTTTCTCCCCATCTCATTTCCTTTTGATGTATAATTTCTCCACCCTCCACCAGCTTCTCCATCTCATTATTCAAAAATTTTAAAGAAAATGATAAAAACAATCCCACTTTGGCAAGATATCTTATATTAGTACAATGAAGCCTTCCCGGGGAGAGAGCTTTTTGTCTCTTGTGGTGTTATTCAATGCCTAGAACTGCACCTGACATAGAAGCAGATGCTCAACAAATGTATATGTTGGGAGGTCTGATAGTCATCTAAGAATTCTTTAATTTTGTTAAAGAAGAGCAATGTACCTCATAAATGAAAAAAAGAAGCCTTACCCTACTACCCCAAATAGCAATTTCCACTATTCTGTGGACAATTCATTCTATGGATTCATTTTCCCACATTGAGTAGTGTCCACTGCCACCTTCTGCCGCCCCACACCGTAAGCATTTATGCCCATTGCTGGTATAGAAGGGGACTCTTCTTAGTATAAATGTCCGCACAGACCACCTGCAGCCTCTGATGTACTGTGTTCTGTGTAGATTGGGATTTGGAACTCCAACAGTGGGCTCAACATGACAGATGGGAACAACGACAGGTCCAACAATATCACAGACTCGCTGGCCAACCGAACACTCATCGTCACCACCATCCTGGTAAGCTACCTTCAAGAAGTTCTGCACTCCTTCTCTAGATTCCTATGCTAGATCTGGAAGGATTCCTCAACTGTGAATTTTTGTGGTGTTGTTGGGGTTTTTTTAGTCTGTCTGAATGTATGGAAAAGCCTATGTTTTTATATGCTTCAAACAGGGTTATTACAAGCTCTGACTGTGGCTTTGAAGGCCCCTTCCCTCAGTGCTACTCTATCCCCTCAGTGCTACTCTATCCCCATCCAGCTGACTTTTTGATTTTTTCCGGATTATTGATTGGTTGGCTGGTTTTAACCAAAAGGAGAGGCTCTGGCAAAAGACCAGAGAACTAGGAAGAGAGAGGCAAAAAAATTCTTCCCTGATATTTCCCTATTGTCATCCAATGGTTTCATAAAAACTCCTGTCCTTCCCAAGCCATGGCTTGTGCCTTGTTGTTGGCTCTTCAGCTGCGCTGGATTCCCTCCATGAGCATTCCTCCCTTCTTCCCATCTCAACCCTGGGTTTTCTTAGGTTCATGAAGGATTGGATCACTGGGTTTCCATATCCAGCCCTGACTCTTACCATCATCTCCCTTTGTTCACACTTCTATAAATCACCCCTGCTGATATCAAACCATCTACTAGGATTCTGATCTCATCCCTTCCCAGCTACCACACATTAATGCCTATTTTGTCCCCCTTTTCTTTCCTGAGAAAGCTAGGCAGAAGTAACCTTCTCTGAACTCTTCCCATGCAGGCATGCCTGCCTTATCTCATGCAGTTTGTAGCATAAAGGCCATTGTGTTTGAAATACTTAATATGCAAGAATTGTTTATTCAAAGGAAAAACTTCATTGTTCTTCTATCCATACTTTGGGATACATGTCAATAGCATATCAATTGTTTTAATTTTATTAAACGCTTAGACTTAGGCAAATGAGATTAGCAAGTTTTCAGAAGTATGGTGGAAAGAAGAAGCTCATCATCTGTAAAAATAGGTGATTTATCACATAGGTAGAAAAGTGAAGAATTACCAGATTTGAAATACAAAGTGATTTGCAGTAAGACTATAGAAATGATGCTAAAAGAAAACATAGAAAGGACATACACAGAAAGTAGCAGTAAGATTGAGATGAATATTTGAAATTAGAATTACAATTGAAATTGAAATTAGAATATTTAGTAGACAAGAAGTGTGAAATTTGAGGTGCATTGGCTGATTTTTTTTCTTTTGTAAGTGGATGACACTTTTAGGTCAAAATCAAGATAGGGAAAGCCTAGGAAAGAAAGTCTTGATGTGGGCAAAGTTGAAGGTCCTGAGATTTCCATCTTCTCAGACCCAAGGACAGAACACAATAATACCTCTGTCCCACCATTCACTCACCACACCCCACTGAACAATGAAAGACAAGCTCACATGTGAAAGACAGGAAGGAAACAGCAATCTATGACATTGAGGGAACAGGGAGACCAAGTTTAGTCGAGGCAGAAAGGTAACGTGACTTACTTCAGTACTTTGAACACTGAGAATCTTCTTACTATATTATAATTCCTGAAACTACTGCTGGACCAATCCTTCCTTACACGAGAACAGTCTCTTAATTTTGATGTCTTTCACTTAGGAGGAACCCTATGTGATGTACCGAAAATCGGATAAGCCCCTCTATGGGAATGACAGGTTTGAAGGATATTGCCTGGATCTGTTGAAAGAGTTGTCAAATATCCTGGGGTTTCTGTATGATGTGAAGCTGGTCCCTGACGGCAAATATGGAGCCCAGAATGACAAAGGAGAGTGGAATGGGATGGTTAAAGAACTCATTGATCATGTAAGCAAAAATACATCACATACATCTGAAAAAACAGGATGAGGAAAGGAAGGGGGGGAGATGGTTGAATCAATGTCAAGAGAAATGTTTCTTTTTAAAGCCTCATGGTAATTTTTTTATTTTGGTGCTAGTCCTGGGACTTGAACTCAGGACTTGAGCACCGTCCTTGAGCTTTTTACTCAAGGCTAGCACTCTTAGCACTTGAGCCACAGCTCTACTTCTGGCTTTTTGCTGGTTAATCGGAGACAAGAGTCTCACAGACTTTCCTCCTGGACTGGTTTCGAACTGCAGACCTGAGACCTCAGCTTCCCAAATAGCCAGGATCACAGGCATGAGCCACCAGTACCTCGCTAATGGTGATTTTTTATGCTGAATAAAACAATTTAGATATGCAATCTCAAATTATTAATATTATGACCAAGTTGCTCATTTCCTTCCTTTTCTAAATGCTGTTTTTTAGACATGTCCTCCTGCATTTTCTTACACTATTTAGTGTGTGTATGTGCATGTGTGTGTGTGTGTGCGCACGTGTGTGTGTGTGTGTGTGTGTGTGTGTGTGTATGTTGCATACTTTATGGCTTGTCTTTACTGATACAGTAGCTGGGAACTTGTTTTTATATTAAAGTCAATTACAGTAGCAACTTCTTATATGAGAGGCACTGGAGTTGGAAGTAGAGATCAAGGATATTCAGCGAAGTTCAGACATTTGCAGAGACGTGAAACAGGAAGCCAAGAATTTGGGGCTTGTTTTTTACAGAGGGCTGACCTAGCCGTGGCTCCTCTTACCATTACTTACGTGAGAGAGAAAGTCATAGACTTCTCCAAGCCGTTTATGACCCTGGGTATCAGCATTCTCTACCGGAAGCCCAACGGGACCAATCCTGGCGTCTTCTCCTTCCTCAACCCGTTGTCTCCAGACATTTGGATGTACGTGCTCTTGGCTTGCTTGGGAGTCAGTTGTGTGCTCTTTGTGATTGCAAGGTAAGTTTCAGAACACTGAATTCATAAACAGTCTATGTCAGTCCCAGATCTCACAGTTAAGAACTGAAAACCCACTCTCTTTTCTTTGTTGTTTGGTTGTTTCTTGCTTACTGCTCTCTTCTTATCTACTTTCTATGGAAAAGTCACTTTCTAAACAAATACCTTTTAATTATTCACAAATATACTTTTTAAAAGACAAAAGGGTTTTTTTCACTTTGATTTTATCAGTATTTCAAGCCACATAAAAAGGTTATTTATTCATTTTCCATGAATGGTAATATAATAAAAGCAATGACTCAACTAATACATTTAAAATGTTTCATTAAGGAGAGCAAGATTATATCAAGCTATTTGAACTCCTGGGGTATATGGATTAATTAAAAAATTTTAAAAAAACAAAGTTAGCTAGAAGTTATTATAGCAAATAAAAAACACTAGAATAAAGTGATTGGGGAATCCCCCAGGAGTAAAACAATAATAATTTGAAAATTCAATAGAAAGAGGATTTTAAAATAACACTGAAAATTAAGATTACTTCATGTAGAGAGTAGAGGTATGAAATCTTTATACTACCATTAAGGTGATTTGATGTAGGTTTTATTTTTGAGATTTAACTCTTTATTTCACTCTTCTGCTATACATAGATCTTCCAGGGATTTTTATGCCACTCAGTAAATCATGTATTTTCTAAATACCTTTGATGTTTAATTTTAAATAGGTGTTTTACCTATTGGTTTAAATATTTGATATCCCTAGACAAAACATGACTTTTTTTAATTGTCTTTGTATGTCACCTGTCTGTTTTCAATTTTTTCACCTTTCAACAAAACTTAATGAACTTTTTCCCTAATCAATTTTTGTTTTCCCTCCAGGAGTTTCTAAGAGAAATATTTCTTCATGCTAGCTCTCTGTCATTGTCCACTGTCTGGTTTTGATTAATGCCAGGTAACTCTTTTCCTGGTGTAATTATAAAAAAAAACTGGGAAAGATAACCCAAGCTGGGGAAGTATAAACTATCTACAAGGGCAGGCGCAGTCACACTGAGTAAATGCGTGCTCTCAAATGTGGGTATTCATTCAATATAAAGAGAAAATGCTGACGTTATCTCCACCTTGTAGTACATGCCATTATCACTTCTCAGGTTTCATGCTTTTAAGTAATGATCAAAACCCTCTTTCTATACACCTTACTTTAAAAACTAGATTATTGATAGTCTATACGATGATATTATCCTTTGATATTTTAAGTGAGTAATTCACAACCAAGCAACCAAGAGAGATTTTCTTTTCCCTTTAGGGGACCTTTGGCAATGTCTGAAGACATTTTTTGGTTGTTAAGACTAGAGACAAAAATTGCAATTCATATTAAATGGATACAGTATACAGAGTAAATGGATACAGTATATAGAGTAAATGGATACAGTATACAGAGTACTGCTAGACATCCTACAGTATTCAAGGCAGCTATACAGATTCTCTCTGTCTCTCTGTCTCTCTCTCTGTCTCTCTCTCTGTCTCTCTCTCTCTCTCTCTCTCTCTCTCACACACACACACACACACACACACACACACACAAAGGATTATCAGTTCCAAAAGGTCAATAATATTAAAGTTAAGAAACCATGTTCAAAACAATGAATGTATTGCCTTGCAAGTAAAGAAAAAAAAGTGAAAATAAGCTTTGGAGATGAATTTGTCATTATGACTCTGAAATTGAGTTTAAATAAATATTTCCCTGGAAGGACCATGTAATAATTGACCACTAGTTCTTGAACTGACTTGTTTTATTCCTCTGTCTGGCATTAGCCAGGTGACAGAGGACAGTAAGAAAGTGAGGAGTTCTATATAGTTAGGGATTCTAAGAAGTAGAGCAGCCAAGACTGTTGATGAGCAAGTGAGTGACTTATTGCCATGAAGTTGACCAGAGCTACTAGGAGAAAAATAAATAACACATGTCAGTGGCATCTAGAAGTCCTCAGAGCCCAACCACAAGGGACCCTTTTACACTTGACCCTAATTGTGAGTCTAAGTAACATTGTTTTGTCAACAGACTAGGTCAGGAGAAGGTAACATCCAGTATTTTTGCCTTCTTCATTTTGTCTGTTTTTTTCATTCTTCCATAAGCTCTCAGGGACTCGTCCTCTTATTTATATTTCTGACTTCACACATCTCCCCATCAATGCCATCCACTCAACATTCCTACTTGCAGAATGTATCATTTGTAAACCAGCCCTTCTGTGTTTTGCTTATTCTCCTTGATTTTACCCTTCACCTCCTTTCACTTGCTTGCGGCAGCTGAACACTTAACAATGTCTCTACACCTTTGAGACCATCCATGCTCCTACTTAATAAGACTATGAAATGCATTTTGGGTGATATTCCCTCAAATTCTGTATTTCCTATCATTGTCATTTGAGACCATGAGCTCAGTCATTCCATACCAAGAAGCTAAGATACAAAATTGTGTTGGTTGCTATTTTAATGGTTTACACTCAAATTTAAACCATTAAATGTAAGTGGGAAATGTAAATGAAAAACAGTTAATCTAATAATGTTTAGCTCTAGAGAGACGTGGAATTTATGTCATGGTGTATTGCATTTTATGTTCTTTTAAAGGGGAAAAATAAAACCCAGCACAGCCTTTAAACCTAATGTTCTCATTGGATAGAGGCATTTGTCATTAGCTGAATGGAATTCAATTCATAAAGTTGTAGATATCAAAAGGAAAAGTTATAGTCATGAAGGTAAAAATTTCAGTCATTGTGACTTGTAATACATTTACATGTCAGTGTTTAAGATCTGAGGAAGACATCTTTCATGTCTTGAAAATGTATTTAACCACAAGGAATATAACTGGCATATTAATCCCAGTTAAACACATAAGCTAAATAGACTAAAGACTCAGATACTATGCATGTATGTTTACACTGTATGGTTTGTGCTTTTCTTCCTAAAACTGAACAGCAATAGGTTAGCATTTGGAAATATATATATATATATATATATATACATATATATATATATATATGTATAAGTATATGTATATGTATATTTATGAGAAAAATGAAGCCCTTAAAAATGGATTCCAAAGATACATAATACAAACTCACTGGTGATATTCCAAGAGCAAACAGACTTTCTCCATTTAAAAAATGACTCATCCTCAACTTCTTAGTGCAGCCGAATACTCATATCATCCATAAGAGAGAACTTCAGTGTGAGCATAATTTTAAATCTTCCCTTCAAGTCTAAGCTCGCATGGTTCCTATCATTTTATGAACTTCCATATTTCAACATAAGATTACTATTCTAACATTCTTCTAATACTCTTCTAACGGTAATTGTAACAGTCAAAGCACATTGGTACATTTCTCTATCACCTTTCTCTAAAAAAGTCATCATGAATCATTAGAGGATGCAGTTGGAGATTGTCATTGACACAATCCTATTTTAAGACCTCTTGATGCTGACATACTGTCATTCTGGCTATATTTAGATAGGCAGTGGAATTTTGAGCTTAAATATCTACTTACAGGTGACAGGTGGGTCTTTTATATCATAAAAGGCAGTGATACACAGCAAACATTGTTTCTTGGTCTATATGTTCCTCCAAGTCATTTGGAATCTGAGAGAGGAAGAATCTAAAATATGTCTATAGAGCAGGCAGAATCACACTAATGTTTAGAAAGCTCCCTTCTCCCCGCCCCAACAAACAATTTAATCAATTGCTCACTTACAAGTGCAAAGTATAAAATACTAAAAAAACAAAAGGATACCAAATTAAAAATAAAAGCAGAATTCCAAAGTGGTGTTCATGGCTCAGAGCCCATGTGTAGGGTGGAAAGGGAGATAAATGGCCAATATCAGAAGAGCTGGTGGTTGCTAGGTTTTCTGCTCTATTTGAAACTCTTTTGTGGGATGCACAAGCCTCTTAATGTATTGCAATTCCTATTTTCAAATTATTGTACCAGTGACAATGATACTGTTTAAGTAACAGCATCTTTAATGAACATGCCATTTCAATTATTAGGTTCATTAATATTGGTGTTCATTCCTCCAGCTCAACAAACGACTAGAGTTATAAGAGTTTGTAAATTCAAAACTTAATTATATTGTTGAACTGGTCATTAAAACATATTGGAAAGACAATGTCAACTTAAGCTATCTCCATAACCTTTACTGAACCACCATAGTCTACCCTGCAGCTGGGTAGACTGGCTTCTGCCCAATTGGATACCAATATGGTTGCTATAATCTTCCAGGCTGTTGCTTTAGTCCCTCTGAAACTCTTTTGGACTGTGTCCAGCAGCTTAGAGAATGCTTTTTCATTAAGAGGATCTCTCTGCCCGGTTCCTCGTACATGATTCACAGTGTGTCCTGCTTTTTTTTCTTTCTCTAGTTAATATATTCACCTTAGGCCCAGCTCTCCCTGATGTGTCAGCAAGCTGCTATTGTTTACTGCCTGAACCTTATGGCTTGGAGAACATCCTGTATGTTCTCATCGGCCTGATGGTATTTTAACATTCCTCTAACACTCCTGCTTGCATTAAGAGGACCCACTGGCAAATGGCAAAGCTGCTAGTGCTAAGAATTATTGCATTTTAAATCATTTCCCAATCACACTGCTGAGCATCTGATAATATCCTTTTTAGAAAAATAAGCATGTCTTAGCAAGGTAGCCCTTGAGAAAATAACCACAGAGCGAAGACCTCTTCCTAGGGGCTACCGAGGTCAGAAAGGTGCTTAGAAAATAAAGAACTAAATTTGTATTCAGTTCTCCAGATTTTTTTATTTAAAATACTACCCCATGGAGATACCTAGATTCCTTTTTATTTCTTTTACAAATAAGAGGAAACTACAGCCCAAGAGAATGAGTTAAATTGTTCACTTACACTTCCTCAACTACTAATTATCTTTCCAGAAAAATTCCCTGCCTGTAGCTCACCACCTTCCAATACAGCTCTGAAAATGCTGTAGAAAGCACTTCCCACCTACCAAGGGTTGGTGATTAAGCAACTGACAGGCCATAGTTCTCAAAACAATTCAATTAAAAACAAATCAAAAGGAAATTATGAGCTTAGAATCTTCCAGCAAGCCATGCTATGCAGTTAATATTAATGTATTCCTTGGCCTGAGCTATGATTCTTCTAACTGAAAACTTTGTCTCAGCATTGAAAGATTGTGATTTGTGTTTCTTTATATCATAATAGAAGTATCTATCGCAATCTGGACCCAGTGGCTCATGCTTGAAATCCTAGCTACTTAGGAGGTGGAGTTTAGAAGGATCACTTTTTGAGGTTAACCTTAGCTAAAAGTTCATGAGATAGCAATCTCAACAAATAAAAGTTAGGTGTGGTGGTATAGGCATGGGGATATGTATTTATCCTTCCAATTACGCACAAAGTGTAAGTAGGAAGATCATGGCCCACACAGGGCAGGATCAAAAACCTATTGGAAAAAAATCCTTAGGAAAAAAAAAAAAAAGGATGAGGGAACTGCGCATCCGTGGTTCACTCCTGTAATCCTAGCTACTCAGGAGGCTGAGATCTGAGGATCACGGATCAAAGCCAGCCCAGGCAGGAAAGTCTGTGAGACTCTTTTTTGTTGTTGTTTTTGTTATTGTTATTCTGCTTCAGTGCCAGTCCTAGAACTTGAACTCAGGGCATGGGTATTCTCCCTGAGCTTCTTTTGCTTCAGGCTAGTATTCTACCACTTGAGCCACATGCCACTTCCAGCCCTTTCTGGGTAGTTTTTATTTGAGAGAAGTCTCACAGATGTTTCTGCCAGGGATGGCTTTGAACTGTGATCCACAGATCTCAGCCTCCTGAGTAGCTAAGATTACAGGTGTGAGTCATTGGCGCCCAGTTCCCATGACACATATCTCCAATTAACTACCAAAAAGCGGGAAATAGTGCTGTGGCTCAAAGTGGTTGAGCACTAGCCTTGAACACAAAAGTGGAAGGACAGCACCCAGCTCCTGAGTTCAAGCCCCAAGACTGGCCTCCAAAAATAAAATAAAAAGAGACGTGGTACAGTACCTACCTAGTAAGTATTGTACCCTGAGTTCAAATCTTAGTACTACCAAAAGAAATATCTAGCATATCCCAAACCCAGCCCTTCTCTTTTTTTATATGTTGTTCTTATGTTGAAGCTTTTTTGATGCATTATATAACCACAACGTCCTTAAACCCCTTCTAAACATCTGCCCATAGAAAACTATAGAACTCCATTGAAAGGAAATCACCCTCTTCTTTGAGTTTCCCATGGGGATTTAGCAACCGTTCTTCGCAGTTACTGCACAACAACTGTGTTCTTCTCATCACCGCTTAGTAAGCACTTGGGTTGAAGGATCCTTTCTTTACAGTCCAGCTGTTGTAGAGTAAAATGGAAATGAATGAAGACGGAAGAATTCAGTCACCAGAGATTTGAGGAGGACAATTTTAGCCAACCAAGGTCTCGACTCAGAAATAAGAACCCTGGTAAATGCTAACTCCAGATTCTTGGGCACTTTTCTCACCAAACGTTTCTAAGTTCATGCGTCTGGCCCATTCTCTTTGGTTTAATAGTTTCATCTTTAACTGGTTGGGCTTTCTTTACTGCTCAGCAGGCTTTTCTGGCACCCCACGTATTTACCTGATACTTACCGACTGTTTCTATTAACTACCACAGGTTTACACCCTACGAGTGGTATAACCCCCACCCGTGCAACCCTGACTCCGATGTGGTGGAAAACAATTTTACTTTACTAAACAGTTTCTGGTTTGGAGTTGGAGCTCTCATGCAGCAAGGTACTTCGGTCACCCTTCTTTGTCACATGCATCCCACAGTCTGCTGACAGGCTTTCGTGCTGGTAAACTCCACCATGCAGCTAGGGGGTAGGCTGAAGACCCATGCAGTTGAAAGCAACTGCAACTGACCCAATTTTGCAGTTCTGAAGCAAAGACAAAAATGTGTCCTAGCTAGAACTCCCTCATTATGTATCTCAAATAATCTTTCTGTCTAGGAATGAACAGAGTTTCCTTGTCAGGTGCAAAGTATCAATTACCTACGAAACTGTTGATCAACTTGCATAGATGGACCTTTCCATCTTTTCCCTTTTATCTGTAACTCTGTAAAGTCAGAGGTTGGCAATAAGTGGGATTTAAATCCTGGGAGGATTGCATTCACTTAGATGCCTCCAGTTGCCAACATACCTAGAACTTCTACCTAATTACCACTCTGACAAAACCTACTGAGATTCATGTTAGCCTCCCAGTAACTTTTTACAACCTCCCTCAATCGGTAGCCATAGCAACAGTAAACTGTCGGGGTTAGGGAAATCAAATCCAAGCCAGACAAATACAATGTGTTTTATGTTTTTTTCCTTATGATTTGGAGGATTTTTTTAAAAAAATGTGTTGAGGGAGAAGGGAGAAGTTGTTTTAACCATCTGAAGAAAGCTATTTCTTCTGGAGCTTCTTCAGTTTTGATTCCAGGCATATGGGCTAAGAAATACTTCCAAGATTAAGCACATTAATGTAAGAAAATTGTAAGTCACAGATGCTGCTTTTTTAGAGTATCTTCTCATCTGACAACAAGATGGAAAAAAACACTTGGCAAGAGAAAATCCAACTAGAATGTACATGAAAGGTATTTGTTACTTGGAAATGAACCGAAGCCTTCTCTTTATAGAGTTATTATACCAATTTCAACATGAATGTTCTATGTCTGTAATAAGAAGGGGTACAGAGGGAGACAGAAAATGATAGTGGAGAGGATGGGAAGAGAGGAAGAAAAGGGGAGAGGAGGAAAGGGAAGAGGAGGGATTGAGAGGAAGGAAGAGCTAGGAATCTGTGGTGCAGAAATACCAAATAATTACAGAAAGTGGGCAAATCCTTCCATTATGCAATGGGACATAATTTATGTAGACACTGCTGATGAGGCATAGATACCATGAGGTTTTCTGGAAATCACTGGCCTTTAATTCAGAGCAAAGCAGAGAATTATAAATCCTGCAAGAAAATGTATCTTGTTTTACCAGTATATTTCATGTTTAGAGTATTTATTCTGTGAGCAAAGAAGAAGACGTCTTCCATTCTCTGTAGCTTTCCTTCTTCAGCCATTAGAATAGAAATAGATCCACCCAGGATTCATACAACAACCTAGGTGGGTTGTGGCCCTTCTGTCACATTAGTGACCCCAGTTGCAGAACTTCTCTTCCATATTCTCTCTGGAGTTTACCATCATCCACAGCAAACTGTGAGAAGCAGTGTCTGCTAGTTACCACTACCTTGGGTACATGACAGTCAACCCCAACCAGACTCTGCTTGTCTTACAAGATATTTGCAAGCATTTGTCAGGTGCAGCAAATGTTTCCATATGTACAAACTTGTGGTAGTGTGATAATATGTCCCTGCGTCCTTGGCACATGCATTTTGAACCAGGTTGGCTGTGTTCTGTGGGCTCTCTTACGTTTGCAGAATCTTGCTGTTGTTCTCAATTGGAAAACCAGTTTGTTTCATTTCTTTCTGAATGTGATGATCAGACTTTCTCTTTTCTACAGAGCGTGAGCAAAGTCTGGATCAGGATTGGCTGTCATGTCTGCCGTTAAAAGGCACTAAAGTGACTTCAGCAAGTATTGGGTCTCACCCTGAATATTTTCCAATGGTGTCTGGCTCTGCTCTTATTGCTCTCGTGACTTCGTCATCTAGAGTTCTGAAGTTAACACAAACCATCTCCTCTAAATCTCTCATTTAACACTGAGAATCAGAGAATTCACAGAATTGCATGAAAAAATTTTAAACAACACAAAGAAACATGGAGAAATTAGGTGCCATCTACAGAGCATTTAAAATGTAATTTCAGTAATTTTCAGTTTTTTTCCACATTTGCAAGAACATTTCATCTAAAAACATAAGCATTTATTTTAAATTGGGGAAATGTGAATCTATATACTTATGTGTCAATAGTTGATCACCCATCTGTCCCGTTTTACTACCATATATATGAACATAATACATAATTATGAACATATACAAATAAAATGAAATCTTTTTCTTCTTACAAATGTAACAAAATACCATAAAGATAATTTAAAGAATAGAATCTGCAAATAAGCTATTAACTGGTTCCCCCATATACACCCCACTGGCTATTTTATGAAATAAATCACATTTTAATGATAACCAATTAAAGATGTAAAATAATATCACATTTCCACAAGGCCACTAGATTAATTAAGTACAAAGATTTGAAACAACCTTGGGTTTTAAACACACACACACACACACATACACACACACTCTCCAGGCATATAAATCCCATTAAATTACAAGATTAAAAACAAGAGTAACGAATTATTCCACTAATTCACAAAGGTGATTTAATGGAAACTATTATAAATTTGTGTAATATAACCCATCCAAATTCAAACAAATATAAGTAGGAAATATAAACTACAGTCAAACCATTTACCTTATTTTTTTAAAGGAAAGCATAAAGATACCTACCAGCATTTAGAAGACTATATCTGTATATTCAACATCCAGAAAACCAGTCAACCTCATCTGCTTATCACTAGCCTTAAGCTGTTCTTATTTCTTGAGCAATGTGTCTGTGCAGTTGTGGATTAAGCTGAACATAAATTTCTTGATACACAGATTGGAAAACTCCAATTATTATTTTTATTTTGCCAGTCCTGGGGCTTGAACTCTGGGCCTGGGTGCTGTCCCTGAGCCACTTCGTGCTCAAGGCTAGCACTCTATCACTTGAGCCACACCTTAGATCATTTTCATTGTCCTTTGTGGAAGTAAACTTCATTCCTATGCCTTTTCTCTGAAAAAGGGTTTGCTTGGTGAATATATTAAGCACATCTATGTTGCCTTTTAAAGGTAACCATATGCCAGGCGCCAGTGGCTCATGACTGTAATCCTAGCTAGGAGGCTGATACATGAGGATCGCAGTTCAAAGCCAACCTGGGCAGGAAAGTCTGTGAGACTCTTATCTCCAATTAACCACAAGAAAACCAGAAGTGGCACTATGGCTCAAGTGGTAGAGCACTCACCTTGAGTAAAAGAACTGAGGGACAGCGCTCAGACCCAGAGTTCAAGCCCCACAACCGACAAAAAAAAAGTAACCATGAAACATCTGAGTGACATCCAAAATACATTTCTACCATGAAGGAAATCTCTCTACCTGAGAAATAATTAGTTTTTAAAGTATGATTATTAAGAAATACTATTTATGTGAAGACAAAATTATGCTTTTCAAGAATATATTCTATTTTAGCCAAATAAGACTCTAAATTAGAAAAAAAAATTGTGAGTCATGAGGTGGCATGTGACTTGAATCTTAGCACTTAGAAGACAAATGCATGAGGATGACATGCTGTAGACCAGCTGGACTATGTAGTGAGACCATGCTTCAGAAATCAAATGATGGTGATGATGATGATGATGATGATGACGATGATGATGATGATGATGATAGCAGGAAAAAGAAAAAGAATTAGGACTTTCAAAGTAACATTAAGACCACTGTCATGTATGTCATGTCTGTATTTTTTATTCTACTGGCAAAAACTCACAGTATTGCATTAGAGTACACGTAATAAATGACCTCATAGGGTAGTCTTTTGAAGTTTCTCAGTGCTTTCAGTTTAAATAAAAATGAAAAGGAAGTTGGCATTTTAAAACTTTTCATAGCTACCCAAAGACGTAGAGCACTTCACTTCACAATCTTAAACAATAACAAAAAGAAAGAAGAACAGAAGACTTTCTTAGGATTAACTTTTCATTTTTAACCCACTAAGTTTTAGACAAAATACCTCAGAATGAAAGGAAATGTAATGCCATCAATAATTGATCAATGACATTGTAAACGAAGGTAATGATGGAATGATTTTTTAAATAGAATCCTTTACATTTGCTCCATTTCTAGAACATACTTTGATTTCATTCTCCTATGAGCTAGTAAGTCCTTGCTGGGTTTATCTGCCTAGAATAGCATTCCAGTGTGCATCTCCTCTTTTTTCTGACTCTGTTTGACACCTGTAATCTGATAATGCCATCACAGGATCAGAGCTGATGCCCAAAGCTCTTTCAACCAGAATAGTTGGAGGAATATGGTGGTTTTTCACCTTAATCATCATTTCATCCTACACTGCCAATCTTGCTGCCTTCTTGACAGTAGAGAGGATGGAATCTCCCATAGACTCTGCAGATGATCTCGCCAAGCAAACCAAGATAGAATACGGGGCAGTCAGAGATGGATCGACAATGACCTTCTTCAAGGTAAGAACCTGAGGAAATGTTCTCAGGGGTTATCGTCTTCTAGGGTACAGAGGGAAAAGTAAGAGCCTTTGGATGAAAGCTAAATGAAAAGAATTTGATCATTTTTGATGAAATGAAATAGATAATGGCCTAACCCATTATAGAGAAGGCCTGAGCCTTCAGATCAAAGCTTTCTTCTGGCATCTTTCCCATCGTCCATGTCTAGATAGACAGATTACCCTCCAACTCCTCTCCAGCCTTCCACTAGAAAAACAATGCTGCTTTCTGAATACAATCGAACAATCTGTTTATGAATCTCTTTTATAGAACCCACGAAATGAAGATTTCTGACCACTAAGATACTTAAATGACTTTATTTTGTTATTTCTGCTCTGTTCTTGAAGAGACAGAAGAAGATGGGGGGAGGGGTATGTTAATATTGGAACTTGGAGAATTTAACACAAAACTCCCCAGGAACTCTGTTCTAATATATCATAAAACCAATGCTCCTAGCCATGATTGGAGCATTCCAGTAGCTGTGAGTGATATATGAGGCTCCAAAAAAGAATTTCCTTATAGTCAGATTAGTTTTAAAAATCAAATGCATATAAAATGACATGTTTAAGGTCAGGTAATTTCTTTGTTATTGCTTAACCAGAATGATTAACCTGATTTACTTATGGAAAAATCTCTAGTAACTTTTATTACCATAATTTTCATGAAAAATAAATGTAGTTAATAGGCCCAAAAAATCAGGAATTATGAAGCTTAGCCCTTCACTTTACAGGAGATTAGGATACAAACTTGAAAGCTAAATTACCTGTTCATAATCACATATTTGGTCCCTTATCAATAAGGAGCTAGTGCCTTCTTTAAAAAAATTGATGAAGTTAAATATGTTGTGAGAAAAAAGAAAATAAAATTTTAACCAAAACAACCTAAAAATGCCTATGTAAAGTCTTCAAACTCAGATTATCAAAAATGAGTCTGACAGCCCAGGATCAAATGAACTATTTTTACTTCTGAAAATTACTAATCTAGAAGCAAAACTTAAGGAGAGGGGGGCTAACAAAGAAGTGAACATTTTCTGTATGAAAGTATTAGTTCATAAGCAGGCATTACCTGTGTAGCAAAATTTTCACAATATAATAGCACAATATTATAATAGTTATAAATTAGAAAGACACTTGCAGTTAAAATAAACTGTAGTATACACTGTAGAATAAACCGTAGAGTTTTATCCAAAGTCAGGCTAATGTGAAAAGATATATTTCTCTGGTAAATTAAAAACTAGTTCCTTTCTTTTAAAAAAGAAAGATAGTTCTAAGCTTTCTTTTTATTTTAAAAGTAAATACCTATACATTAGGTTTTGTATAAATCACAGTGATTGTTTTCTTCCCAAGATGGGAATATTTTAAAGGAAAATAATAATATATAAATATATGGCTTTCCAAGGTTCTGACAGTATAGTACTGTACGGGGATATCAGTTTCCCTGTGCTAGACATTCATCACAGTTCTTAGCAAAAACCAGGGGAGTCACTTGCCAGGCACACAAGATACAAAGACATTGTCCATGCAGAATACAATACATCTGAAATACAAAGTCCAGAATGATTACCCCATTCACCAAGATCAAAGAATTTTAAAGCATTGGGAAATGGGCTACTAGCAAAATGAGCAGAAGAGATTCTATGGCCTTTTCCATGTGAGTTTCCAGTGCAGATAAGAAAGAGGCAGTTAAGTGTTGTAGGTGTTTTTGTTGTTGCTGTTATTTGTTTGCCTTTTTATTTTGTGACAAATGACAGACATATCCCAAGAGATCTACGTGTTCCTTGGCCTCATTTCGATATGGCTTTGCTCAGGTGACTCTGATGTGCAAAGCCTGGTTTTTATTTTTCATGGCAGCCCTCTGAGGTAGCTACAATAACATGTGTGTGGACCATGCACTTCTAGAAGAAGAAAGAACACAGTGTAAGTGACACCTTTGCGTCAACAAACACGGTATCAGCACAGAGTGCTAACCTTGAGCCTCACACTCAGTGTGTGAGTGTTTTGTATTGACTGTCTCACTCTGTCTCTGTCAAGGCCAATTGAGGTAAGTGCTCTTATCCCTTTATATGATGAGGAGGGAGAGCCATCAAGACAGTGGCTTAACAATGGAAGTAGTTAATAATGGAAGAGTCATGATCCAGTCAAACTTCAGAGAATTCCAGGAAGTTCTCACTTTGAAGGGAGGGACCTGGTTTGCTTTGCTTAGGTTTCTATTACTCCATCAGAACGTAAAAGAGTGCCTGGTACATAGTAGAGACTCAGAAAGCATTTTTTCCAATTAAATAATAAATGTAAGAATGAAGTGTGTGTGTGTGTGGTATGTGCATGAGAGAGAGAGAGAGGGAGAGCAGGAGAGTGGTGGATAGATATAGAAGCCCACACAGGAAGAAAACTGTTGCTGCGTTCCTAGTTACAGGTTAGCTTGTGGCCCAGCAACACTATTTATCAAGAAGGAATTTCTTTGCAGAAGGAGGACAAGGACTAAATCCGATTTCATTTTTCCCCGGAGGGTGGCAAGCTGTCAGAAAGCTTCAGAGGGATGGATACACACTCTGCGTTCTTAAGCGGGATTATTCCACAAGGGAAAAAAGCATTCCAGCCTTTTAGTTCTTAGGGTAGATCCGTCCTCAGAATTAAGTCACTGAGTGACAGCAGTTACGGAACAAGGGTCCCCACCTGGCTCAGCCCTCCACACTGGTGACTTACTGTGCCAACCTGGCATCCCTTCCCCTTCTCTCTCATAGAAACAACCACTTGCTTTGGCTATAGCCAAAGTCTATGCACAGTCTAACCTAGCACTTTGACCAATTGTTGGAGCACACACCATCTGCCTAGATGGGTCCTATTTTCACTCAATCATGAAGACACTTCTAATAAGAAACATTTTCTTGACATATATGGTATAATGAGTACCTCTTGTTCCCAGAATAAAAACATCCCTTTGGCATCTTGCCAAGGGTAGCAACCTGTCCCTTTACTTTCAAGTTGGCTTTAAATCAGCTTTGCAACCACAGAACAAGCAGGTATAGAGTGCTCAGATATTATCAAAATCCATAATCAAACAAAATACACTGATCGGTTATGTTGGCCCTGGACACCACAAGTGATGTTCCGAGCGAAATATCTCCTGGAAAAGTGAGGCTACAAGTTGCTCACTAGATTTTCACTCAGAATCCACTGAATTTTTCTCATGAACTTTTGCATCCTTGCAAACAGAATGAATGACAGCTCAGATTTCAGAATATGGATATTGAATTCTCAATGCAAACACACACACGCACACACGTGTGTGTGCCTGTGTGTGTGCGTGTGTGTGTGTTAGATTTTACAAACACTCCTGTTTTGAAAAGTTTCCACTATCTACTATCTCAATTTAAGTCAGGGCACAAGGATCTGGAAGTAGGAAAATGCATTTTTGAGGCAAGAGTTGGTTGCCCAGTTTTTCTTCATTATTTTTATGGGAACCAATCACACTGATCATCACAGACTGTATTTCTGCACAAGAAACTGAATTGACACATAAGCAATAATCCACAAGTTGTACCTTCTCAGTGAACATTTGGATATTCTCACTGATGTTGCCCACAAATATCAGAAGAACTATGTTTGGTGTCAAGGTCAATTCAACCAATGCTATGTGTGATTCACTCCATGTTCATAAGCTCATGTGCACTCTGAATCTTAAAGATTTAAACATCATGGGCAATATTATGGCCTATTTTTTTAAAGAGTGTCATTTACCATAAAGACAATTGGTAGGGCAGGATTAGAGAAAAATAGGGCATTTTAATAATATTTTAATCACAAACCAGGTACAGTTGGAGACATTTTTAAAATATCCTTTGGACATCAGGGGATCATTAATATTTTTGTCTCCTTTTCAAGGTTTCCAATAGTTAATAGATCCTGTAAGTCAAATATTTATCATTTGGAATTTCAACAGGTTTTACTTAAGAGAAATTTTCAATATACTCTTGATACTGCTTGGGATAAAATGCATTAGCAATCCACTCAGTTTTATCAGTTTCCCTCTCCTCCGCTGGTGAATCACTTGGTTCTTCCCAGTGTTTCACAGTCAGAACAATCAAGGCTTTCCCTGCCCTATCAGCACTGAGGGGACCATCGCTGGCAAACGAGGAGGAAAAAAAGCAAAGAGCAGTTCTTTCATGTTCAAGTTTATGCACACAGCTTGGTTGCAGCTTCCTGAGGATCTATGTGATCTGTTTCTCTATATCATATCCAGAAAGACTCTACAGCAATAGTAATGCATTACATATTTTTCTTCCATCGATGAGGCAATAAGAAGCTTCTGTTTTTCCCTATTTTTCATAGAAAGCAGGAAACCTGTTCTTTCTCTCTGCTGTAATTTTATTAACCTAATGAAATTAGCTAGGTAGACCTTTGCCAGTGATCTAAACTCTCAAGACCTTGATTTCTCTATCTGTAAATTGAGGCTAATATCTAACTCATAAGGTCATTTTAAGGATCAAATGATTTAACAGAGGTAATAAACTTACACTACTGCTTAGCAAATGGTAATCCATTTTAAAAGCTAGATATTCTATAATAATCACCAATACAACCATCCTTATTATCGAGCCTTAGCCCTCAATGCAAGCTCTATTCTTTCAATCCCTCTAGATTTAAAAATATTCTATTCTTTACTCAGTTTCTTTGCTGCCAATAGTCTCTGAACTGTATGCCTCTGGCTATTGGACAGAAAGTTCAAAAGCAATGCCAGGACTCAAGCTCTGAAAGGAATTCAAAGACTTGATCAATCATAGACCCAAATCCTTGGGACCATTTCCTGAGCACATACATTGCATCTGCAGAAGAACCATGTCCCAGACGGCAGGGAGACAGCAGATGGCAAGGCTGCCCTTAGGATTCAGCTGAGAGGCAAAGCAAGGCAGTTCCATTTCACTCAGCTCAATTGATATTTTTGCAAGATCTCCAACATGGCGTCCC